ACTGACTGGTGAAGACAGGAGGGAGACATGGAAAAGTGTGAGGATAGGAGGCTCAGATTCCTTCGACTGGAAACAAACAGAGCATGTTGTAGAAATTAGAGGGAAGGAAGAGTTTTGAGGGGACCACTAGGGAAGAGAGAGTTCTTCTGACCCCAGTAGTTAAACCAGTCATGTACTGTCATACTTGGAATTCACAGCCTTATCCAGCTTCTGTCTCTTTAGCTGTTGTTATGAACTCAGGTAGTGACTGTGGTTGCATGCTCAATACCTCTCTGGATATGACCTCAAAGGACGCATCCAGGCGAGTACAGCCATGTGGTATGTGGTGCCGCAGACCTATCCGCAATGCCACATACCCCACGTTCAGGCGTTTCCCATGTCGCTACCTTGCAGGATTCAGAGGTCAAAAAAACCCACACAGAAAAAAAGCAGGGCGGTGCATGTGGAGGTAGCACATGCAGCCCAAAACTGGAGCCTGGCCAGTCAGAGCCACACTCCGGCTGCCAGCCAGGCTCCAAGCTGCAGGAGTGATGCGGCTGCGGCTTCCCTGGCCCCCAGGTAAGGCTGCTGGGGCCAGTATGTTTGCTGGCTCCAGTCTCCCCTACCCAACCTGGGGTAACCTGCTGCATACCAGATAGGGTTGCCAACTCCACAGGATTGTCCTGAAGTCTCCAGGAATTAGATATAAATCTCCAAAAGACTGCTGAAAGTCACCTGGGAGATAAATGATAGGATTCATTAAAATAATCATTAAATGTTGAATCTGATGCATGCAGTAGTCGAGTGGGTTTTTAAAATGTAATAGTAATGTGCATTTGCCTTCCTGATGTAAAGTCAATAACATTATGTCATGCAATGAAACCTCCTGGAATAGATAGAGGTGGCAACCCTAGCATCAGAGACAGCATGGCACAGCCATTCCCTGGGGTAAGTAGCAGCAGCACAGGGTGGCCCAATGCTAGTTGTCCCGGGGAACATCCATGCTGGTTTGGACACAGCCAAGGAGCCTATTTCCATAACTAGCAGTCAAGTTGGGTGAAGAACAAAGGTTGTTTGGTAATACCTTTTATTGGAGCAACTATATCACTGGAAGGGAAGGGGTGTTAGACAAACTTTTAAGCAGAAAGCATTGAGCACTGTCCCACCAAAGCTCTCTCAAAAGGAAACAAGACTTCCTTCTTAAAATAAGCTTAAACATCTGCTGCTGCAGTTTGGCCACATTACAGAGCTGCTGCAAGTTCTGCAGTGTGGATACTGCTGGATTCTGTAGATCTACCAATTTAGTTCACCAGGTGGAGGCCTGACATTTTTATAACCAAATGTCATTAGTTCTATTCCCAGTACAGTCAACTAACAATTTTAGCATCTGTAGGCATGGGGCTGATCATTACATGGAATCCGTTAGCATAAAAATTGCCATCACACTTAGCATCCTTGTGGGTAGCAATCTCAGCAGAAACAACATGTGAATGGAGATGGAATATGAAGTGATCGTGCATCTTCAGAACAGATTGAAGCGGATTAGTGGATAATTTCAAGAAATTTGCTCTGTTGCTCCTTGTGACAACTTTTTCAAAGATAAATAGACATTTTCTCAGTAGCCAAAATCAGTACGTTTTATGAACACTAGATTCACTTAAAATGAAATATTTTAAATCATTCAGTTATAGTTATACACATACACACACATAGATCCATGTAGATCCTTTTGTAGATTCATACATATGAGAACTTTAAACACAGAATTTCCACAAATGCAAGTTTATTCTGGGCCTGATCTTCCATTCCTGAGATCTTCAAAATTTTCTCTGCAATCAACAGAACTTTTGGCACCAGAAAGACTGCAAGTTGTTATTTACTTACTGTGGCACTGATTTTGTTTTTCTAAAGCTGAAATGCACAGCACAAATAAATCAGGAAGTCAATATTTATTGTAAGTATTATGAAAATAGTATCATTAAAAAAATTATTACAATGTAAATTACCGATTTCAATGGGAACAGATTTAGATCCTCAATCTTTATTCATTTGTTTTGTTGTCAATTTCACACTAAATAAACAATGCAACAACTGTTTGTAAAAAGAAAAAAAATGTCTATTTAAAATATCTTTGTTTTCTTTGGTAAACCCATAAGCCTGGTAAAATGTGCTCTCATTTAAAATAGAAACAGCAAGGAAAATACTTCTTTTAGTAGGAAAGTTATTATTCAGCACAGAATCAGCTCTTACAGCTTTTAAGTCTCTACCTCCATGGATACTGCGCACACAGGACAGTACAGTTAAGTCTGCAAACCACAAGTCTAATCTTGAAGACCTTTTTATGAGTCGTCCTACCAACGTCTGTGGGCAGTGGCACTGCTCAGGTATCCAATGTACATTTAAAGCCCCAATTCTGCAAAGACTTGGCATATGAGTAAAGCTCTGTGTACATTTAAATAAATTCCTCTCAGAGACATACTGGACACAGTGAGTCAAAGTGATCGGTATACACTTCCTTTTTCTCCAGCCTCTGCCTCTGTGCCTGACTAAGTTGGAAGTTCCTTAGCCCTGGGATTGCTCTTGCTGCATGTCTGGACAGGACCTGCTGCAAAGTGAACTCTAGTATTAATAGCTATACCAAACTAATTATTAAACGATTGAAATCACACTCTTTTTTAAAGCAACTTTGCACACATGAAGCCTATTGATGTCCACAGGAAAATTTAAGTGGCTGTTAATGAAACTATATGCATGAATTAAATTATTCATCCATGTTAAAGCTTTGCAGAGTAGAGTCGAAATCTAATATTTAGTTTATTTTTTGAAAAAAGAGCTGTAATCGTTTGTATCTGTTCCTCATTATTCATGCTGTTTGTTTGGCTTTTGCTTTTCAGGGTGGAAAATGAAACTACACTACTCAGTTTCACTTCCCAGTCCAGTCGGTTTACTTTCAGGTTACCCTGACGGAGGTATAACTGCTGCAACGTTTGGGTTGAAAGGGAATGGTTATTAATATTATATAGATACCTATATGTATATCTATCTATAGATATATCTATAGAGATCTATATGTATCTATCTATAGATATGTATCTATCAATCTATAGATATCTATATAGATAGATATATGATGGTTCTGTTTCAATTAAAGCATCTGTGTGCATAGAAATGCATAGATTTTGTAAAAAAAAAAGCCTTTTTACAGAGCAAAAAAACGAGGCCGTATTTGACATACTACTTCAATTCAATTAATTATTAGCATTGCTATTACTGTTCACACATTTGTTTGCTTCGAGGCGCAAGCAGAGCCGGCCCGTCTCAACAACGCCGGGAAACCAGAAGCGAGCAGGCAAGTAAGTGAGCAGCGCGAAGACGAGCGTCTGGCAATGGTCTCTCCACGAGACGAGTGGATGTTGTGGGTATTTCCGTGTGTCCTTACAGGCTACAAAGCTTCGGTCGCTGTTGCTTTTTTGTTGTTGTTGTTGGGTGGGGTTGTCGGGGGGGGTGCTGTTTTGGGGAACATCTCTAGGCTGCATCTCCCGTTGTCACCTCCATCCGGAGCGTTTTCCCACGTCCGTCCCAGCCTGCCCCGGCGCCGTGCTCAGGGGGCTCC